CATGCATCGTGTAGAATGTGGAAGTTGTTGGCAAGGTATGATGAAGTGACCATAGAATGAATGGTACGCTCTCGAATTCGGCTAGCCTTGAAGAAGGAACGACAGAAACTGATACGCAAGAAGCCAGTCAATGAGCTAGCACTGAGAGGGAAAGTACAGAAATTCAAAGTCTCGCTTTAGAACAGGTACTCAGCTCTTAGTGAGGAAACCAACATTAGCGTAGATAGAATGAATGATAATCTGATGAGCATCATTACGGAGTGTGCAGTGGAAGTTGCAGGCAGGGTAGTTAGACAGGACACTGGCAAGCTTTCCGAGGAAACGAAGAATCTCATAAAGAAGTGTCAAAGCATGAAAGTATCAAGTACAACAAACAAAATAGAACTGGCCGAGCTTTCGAAGTTGAATAATCGGCGTAAGGTATCCAATGTAAGAAGGTATAACATGCAGAAAATTGAACACGCTCTGAAAAATGGAGGAAGCGTCAAAGCATTGAAGAGGAAGCTTGGGATAGCCAGAAATTGGATGTATGCACTAAAGGACAAAGAAGGCAAAATAACTACCAATATGGATAGGATAGTTAAAATAGTGGAGGAGTTTTACAGAGATCTGTACAGTAGCCGAGACAACCACGACCTTAATACTATAAGAACTAGCAGTAACCCAGATGACACCCCACCAGTAATGGCAGAAGAAGTCAGAAAAGCTTTGGAGAGCATGCAAAGAGGCAAAGCTGCTGGTGAGGATCAGGTAACATCAGATCTGCTAAAAGATGGAGGACAGATTGTGTTAGAAAACTAGTCACCCTGTTTACGAGGTGTCTTCTGACGGGAAGAATACCGGAGTCTTGGAAGAATGCTAACATCATCTTAATACATAAGAAAGGAGAGGACAAGGACTTGAAGAATTACAGGCCGATCAGCTTGCTCTCTGTAGTATACAAGCAATTTACAAAGGTAATAGCTAACAGAGTATTGAAAACATTAGAATTTAATCAACCAAAGGAACAAGCAGTATTTCGAACAGGCTACTCAACAATCGACCACATTCATGTTATCAAACAGGTTATAGAGAATCGCTCGGAATATAGCCAACCACTATACATAGCCGTAATTGATTACGAGAAGGCGTTTGATTCAGTAGAAATATCAGCAGTCATGCAGACACTGCGGAATCAGGGCGTCGATGAAGCACATATAAACATCATGAAAGAAATATATAGGGGATCAGCTGCTACTACAGTGCTTCCTAAAGAAAGCAACAGAATACCAATCAAGAAGGGTGTAAGGCAGGGGGACACAATCTCCCCAATGCTATTTACCACGTGCTTACAGGAGGTTTTCAGAAGCCTAGAATGGGAACAGTTAGGGATAAGAGTTAATGGAGAGTACCGTAGTACCTGCGCTTTGCCGATGACATTGCATTGCTGAGTAACTCAGGGGACAAATTGCAACTCATGATTATGGAGTTAGACGAGGAGAACAGAAAGATGGGTCTTGAAATTAATCCCCAGAAAACAAATGTAATGTACAACAACCTCAGAAGCGATCAGCGCTTCGAAATATGTCATAGTGCACTTCAAGTTGTAAACGAGTATGTCAACTTAGGGCAGGTAATAATCGCGGAGCAGAACCTCGAGACATAAGTAACTAAAAGAATGAGAATGAGGTGGAGCACATTTGACAAGCACTCTCAAATTATGACAGATACATTGCCACTATCTCTCAAGAGGAAAGTATAAAACAGCTGTATCTTGCCGGTACTTAGCTACGGAGCAGAAACGTGGAGACTTACAAAGAAGGTTCAGCTTAAATTGAGGATGACGCAGCGAGCAATGGTAAGAAAAATGGTAGGTGTAACCTTAAGAGACAAGAAGAGAGCAGAGTGGATTAGAGAACAAACGGGTGTTTAGAATATCATAATTGAAATCAAGAAGAGGAAATGGACGTGGGCCGGTCATGTAGCGCGTAGACAGGATAACAGCTGGTCATTAAGGGTAACTGACTGGATTCGCAGAGAAGGCAAGTGGGTTAGGGGGAGACAGAAGGTTAGGTGGGCAGATGAGATTAAGAAGTTTGCGGGTATAAATTGGCAGCAGCAAGCACAGGACCGAGTTAACTGGCGGAACATGGGAGAGGCCTTTGTCCTGCAGTGGACTTGACTTGCTGCTGCTGATGATGATGATGACGATGATGATAATAATGTTGATGATTAGCATAAATAGAGGTAGCCAGTCTTACAAAACCTGATAAAGCCAAGCCTGGCTTCATCAGGCTTTGTCACTCTGGCTGTTTTGGATATTTTCGATCCGATTAAAATCGCTTCAGATGCACGACAAAACGGCATGTGTTTAGCGTTTATACAGCGTTACGGGGGCGCTTGGAAACCTGTAGCGTATGCTTCGCGTGTACTGTCTGACCCCCAAAAAGGTTATTCGCAGATTTAGAAAGAGGCACTGGCGGTGACATACGGGTGTGAGAAATTTCATCTCTTTGTGTGTGAGCGCAGGGTCATCCACGAAACAGACTGCCGTCCCCTCATCAATATTTCGAAAAATGCAATTCCTGACATGCCACCAAGACTACAGCCCTTTTTTCTACGTTTGCTAAAATAGAATTTTGCACTGCATTTTGTTCCAGGAAAGTGGTGCATGTTGCCAGACCTGCTGTCGCGTGCCTTTGTCGGAAAGCTGCAAAAGATGAAGCCGATGAAGACATTGAAGTTCACACCGTAAGTATGATGTCGTCACATGTAAGCGATCCTACGTTAGAGCGCCTATTGAAAGACTCGAAACGACACCTAATTGCAAGGTGTCGTTACTTGTTTCCAAAATAACCAACCAGTACAGGGACAGTTTAACATTACGAAAAAGAATTATCGATTGTGAGCGGTGAGCTTTTAAAAGGATTAAAAGGGTTAGGTCGTAGTGCCGGACAGTATGCGTCAAGAAATGTTGTGAATAATCCACGGTGACCATATGGCACCAGATAGGTGGAGGAACGTGCGCGCCGTTTGGTTTTCGGGCCCAGTATGAACACTGATATGAAAAATCAAGCAAAAAATGTTCCGTGTGCCAGAAGCACGCATTCAAGCCACATAGTAAATCTATTCTTATCTGCCCAGTGGCTGCACATGCATGGTGTAGGATAGGTGTAGATATCTTTCAGTATGCTGGCAAGTCTTACCTTTGCGTATATGATGCCTTATCCAACTTTCCCGGGGTAGAGCACCTACAGGACACGCCACCGGCCGCCATCATTGATAAACTAAGCGTAATATTTGCAAGATACGGCATACCTATGCAGGTGTGCACTGACAATGGACTGCAATTTTCAAGCCGCAATTTGGTGATATCTTAAAAAAATGCGATTTTCAGCATGGTACTTTGAGCCCGTGATCTCCACGCTCAAATGGCTTAGCTGAAAAAGGGGTTCATGTGGTTGAAAGAATCCTTAAAAAACTGAGTGGAGAGACGACTTTTTTAAGAACTTCTTGCAGGGCGAGTTGTTCTATGTCTGCGGTATGTAACGTTGCGCATACAATCGGACGAACACAGGAAGTAAAGAAGCGCAAACGGAAAGAGCACAAAATCTCAACTGGTTTTATTCCCTTGATCGCTGTATATATGCACATTTAAAATTATATCCTCCTGTCTTTCAACCTTCGTTCAAATTTTTTGGGACGTCTGATAAATGTGCATATACTTACAGCGACCAAAGCAATAAAGCCAATTGAAAGTTAGCGCTCGTTCCGTTTCCGCTTCTTTACTTCCTGTGTTCGTCCGATTGTATACGCAACGTTACCTTCCACAGAGAGACAACTGCCGGCTTGAATTGCTTTGTTACAGATCCTGTCTCTTAGAAGACAGTCGGTCACTAGGTGAGCTGCTGCTGTTTGGCTGAAGACTGCGAACACCATTTGCAGATTTCGTGGAGGTTCCCAGCATATATGTGTGGAATTATCGACAGAAAGAACAACCGAGACGCCCCCTTGCTTCCTCGCAAGAAGAACAAGACGTGCTTTTGCGTGGAGACCAATGAGAAATCAAAGCCAGAGTGATGCGGGCAGAGAAATCAATGTCCTATGAAATGAAAACATAAGACTGCAAAATCCTGCGCCGGAACCGGCAGCATTTTTTCGCGACAGCAGCGCCATTCAGCAAGGAGTCACTGTGATGTCCCGTGCAGAGAGTTTTCTCTTCTTCAGGGAATCTTCGACTGTCCTTCTCAGCCAAAGGAAAAAAAGGGAATGTTTGTCATATTGCAGAGAAGTTTAGGAATGTTTGAAATCTCCTATGACAACCGATAACTCGCACCCACAGTGCACCCTTATCTTCTGTAATTGGTTGTGGCACATGCACCACACAAGCATAGCCCTTGAGATTTGTTTCTGATATTTACACGAAGAAATTTCTAGTTCACCATTGGTGTTAGACTTGAAGCCCACAATGTGCAGTGTACTAACAGTATATCAAATAATAAAGTCATGCTTTTGTTTTGCGGCAGTGGAGGGGTTAGTCATAATTTCAAAAGTCACCAGTACGTCAGACTCGTGCAATTATAGTATGTGTGTGCATGGATTAGGGTGGAAATCAGTACTGTTGTGCAGGGAAATATGCTGGAAACTTAGTCAACGTTTGCAAGAAAAATCCCCGAATAGTGAATTTTCATGTCTCTGAATGGGAATTCTTAGGCATAGTACGGAACATCACTGAAGAGTCATCCGCGGAAGATTTCAAGGAATATAAAAGTGACAACGACGGCAGTGTAAGTCAACATGAGTCTTCAACCGATCATGTGCCGGTGATATCAAATGAAGCAAGTCCGCACTTGAGGAGATCAGGTCACACAAGGAAGAAGACCTCCACAGCACCTCTATTTTGACAGCAAATTTTAGAAATATTCTTAACGCCTTGCGAATCACCATGTAAAATGATTACTTTTCTGTTTTTACTGAAAGGAGGATGTACCACGCTTGATGAAGTCAAGCGCCTTATGTTCACACGCTTCCAATTCAGCGGCATTGCGCAGGTCCACTAACAATACAAACAGGAAACGCGTTTTCGGAAGACTATCTCGAATGTGTTTCCTTTCCTACCTTAATTGTAAAATTAGGTGAACAAGTAAAGCAACCACGTTCTTTGTTGTCTGAACTTTGGCTCGATTGTATTCTTTGCTCGAAGCACGCGAAATACACTGCAAGATGCTGAAAACGCACATATTTTCTTGCAACAAGCGATTATTTCGTGAGTTACTACTTGCATTGGCATTGCATAGCAGCGTCTGTAGCATGCTTGTTTGCGTACCGTCAGACCGACGTTCTTGGCCAGTGTGGTCTCGGATATGTTGGCAAACGGCTTGTCCGCACCCCAGCATTCGACGTGCTTGTACATCTTGGAGGTGGACCGATGTCGGTTGCTGTTCTCATGCACCGTGTGCGGGCTCTCTTCGGAGGTATCTTTCTGCAAGAGGTCGAGAGGAATGAGGAAGTTGGCGGATACAGATGACAGATCTTGGTGCACCCTATGAAGACATTTACCTTCAACGTACGACTAAAACCACGCCACGAAGTACTTACAAACTTTCCATGAATAGGAGGGTGCATTCGGGAGGTATAAGAGGTCAGATTTTGCAGGAATAATTGAGGAGCTGCCAGGTTCGGCTGGTTTACGCCAAGTCAGCTATCTTTTTTTAAGGCTGGGACAACAAAAAGAAGTGTCTTCGCTACTTTCTCGATTTGAACCAAATTTCAATTATCTTGCGACGTCACAGCCACTGGCGTTCAAGTATGGAGTGACCGAGGCTCGTTTCAAGTTCCCAATATAGAATTTTCCGCTTGCGTTACGCAAAACAAGTTTTTTTTTATATACGTGTTCACGAATAGAAGAAAAACCGTTGCATACAAGGCCTCATTTCGCAAGTCACCCTATTTCTCAATCCGACTGTAAAACTATAATAGGAAGTGTACGAGACAACGGAAAGTCTTCTGCATCTAGGACGCTCTGCACTCACCGAAATCGAAAATCGGATATCTAACAAACTGGTTGCGTTATTTCTTGGAGTCAGGCACGGAGTAGGACTCGGAAATATTCACAGCTCAGATTTAGCCACTGAACGAAAAAATTGAGAAAGTGATCAACCATGATTTTGAATGCACTAATCAAGTAATCATGCTATTGTGGCCATAAGGCTGCTATTTGTCTTTTAAAAAAAGTCAGGCAACACACGTGAAGAGAGTTTCATTTCTCCAACTGTGCAACAAACTTCGTCATCATGTACAAAGTGGTTGTTAAAGTGAACAATTGAGATTTTATTCACAGCAATTACAATTTTCAAGAGTTCTTGGTGCACCTATCTATATATTCATTGAGATAATCTTACATTGAGTAACGTAAATAAAAATTAAGCCAGTACCACGCCTGTTCAATCTGAGTAAACAGCGCAGCTGAAAGCGATATAACCTGGCCAACGGAGATTGAGTTTTTTCTGGATCTTCTTTTTCTCGTTTCTTTGTTTCGTCTTTTCTCGAATCTTTTTATCTACATATTTTTCTCCTTTTGTTCGTTATCTTTTTCGATATCACAATCTCTCCTTTCCCTCTTCCCAACTTTCACATCACTCCCCACCCCAACTTCTTTTCCTCACCGCTTCATATATGCTATAACGTGCATGGCTATGCTATGGTTTGCCCTTTAACCTCCTCAGTCACTCTTCAACCGTTTACTTTCCCACTCCCTTGCTATACTATGCATGGACATGCTATGATAGGAGCAGCTTGGCACATACCCGCTTTCTGTGCCAGGCACTTACCGAATTTTGTGCGGACCTCAACGGCCTTACATCCAGCGTTAACAGGCCCGCTGTGAAAACGTCGCCGTTTACACTCACACGTAGCTGCTTTTGGCTACACATATAGCTCAAGTTGGCTACATCCTGTCTTGAATTTTTTCAATTTCTTGACTATTTTTGGTCTTTTTTTCTCTAGGAATTCGGTATGACATGTGAACGAAGCCGAGGCGTTTTATTAGGGCAGGCGTAATTCAAGAACAGTTTGAGTTTTGAAACAGTGCCCTGGTTTGCCAGTCCTACTCGTACCTATGAGTGGTGAATCAGCCTTCGTTGTACCTTGTTAAATAGGCTGGCATTGCGCTCTGTCGCGCTCTTAGGAGAAAACAGGCGTGGATTGGAAAAGGCTTAGGACAGCTTAAAAGAGGAAGCAAATTAAACTCTGCGCAGGCAGCCCTCAGGTGCTTCATCGAAGATTACTCGAGTTTACTGCTCTACGTATACTTTGATAGCTCTAGCTGACATCAAGCGTTGATCTGTCTAGAAGGGCCCCAAACAACACATAATGATGCCGTATACTCAGTCACAGAGACCAACAGTTATGAAGTCCTCGTTACGTTGAGATACTCAGACGATGTCGTGAGACGAAGCGCGTGGTACTTTGACAAACTAAAAACTTTGTTGCAATTTCCAGGGATTTTCAAAACTACGTACAACTTAAGAGGCAGCTTCGCGTTTTCGAAAGGCTACCGTTATGTATAATCTCTTACCTTCTGCGGTGCGATGAGGAATGTCTCAATTTGGTGCTCAGCAAGGTACTGATCCCGCTGGTGGCCATTTCCGGGTTCGGTCTCGAACTTCCCATCCAGTTGGTGGTACGTGGCTTTTGTGATGTGCACGCGTCTGCAAAAGGCGTTGGAAACAAATACAGAATAACATCACAACTTGAATTTCCAAGTATTTTCGTTCGTATAATTGCACTTAGCTTTCACATTCAATCTCTTTTCCGACAGGGTGCTCTTAAATACAAAAGTAGCGTAAAAACTAGTTTTTTTGTAGATATGGCTACTGGAGTGCAAAAATTGCTTTAATTATGCTAATTGACTTCGGCTGTCTTGCCTTATGGAAGTCTGAGGTATCTCTGACTCCAAGAATGTTCGTCCCGTATGCCTTATTGCAGCCATCAGAATAATATCCAGGTGTGGCACATCGAGTACGTGCCACTCTTCCTACCCCCTCCGAAGATTGTTCACCCAGGGCACACAGAGCGAAAAATGAACATTTCAAGGATGAGCCCCCCTTTCCCATGAAATCAAGGAGATGCCTACCCCCAAAAAACTTTCCGACTACGCCCTTGGTAGCCAGAGAAATGTTGGAAGCTCGTTGTGAAGAGAGTTGGGGTTTGGGAGAGGGTAAGAGGGGATGAAGGAAAAAGAGAGCGATAATTTATCAGAAGGCTGAGAGGTCGGCCTGAGGTTGTACCCTCTGGACTGCTACTCAGCAGAGGGTAAAAGGAAAAGGAAGAAAAAAAGCAATACATTGCAAACGATGATGATGGGGACAGGAAGAAGTGATACGTAGTTACAATCGCCACTTAACACACAGGTCTTCTTGATGTCTGGTGTCAAGTTCAGTGCCCTTGAAGAAATCTATAAATGTCATTGTAGCAGTGGTTGATTTTGTCTGGTTGGACAGTGTGGACAATAGGTTATCTTCACTTAGATATTTTGCCAAAGTGCACAAACACTGCCCCGTCATATAAACTGCCTAAAAACAAATTATAAGCCGCACGACAAGTGTTGCTACTCCAGCACACTAAAGTGGCCATTCCAGTGTGATTAGAACGACATGCACTAGCCTTGCGTCGTTTAACGCCGCTCCTTATTTTGTCAATCGTACCAATCTAGTGATAGTTGATTGATATGTGGGGTTTAACGTCCCAAAACCACCATATGAATATGAGAGACGCCGTAGTGGAGGGCTCCAAAATTTCGACCACCTGGGGTTCTTTAACGTGCACCCAAGTCTGAGCACATGGGCCTACAACATTTCCGCCTCCATCGGAAATGCAGCCGCCGCAGCCGGGATTTGAACCCGCGACCTGCGGGTCAGCAGCCGAGTACCTTAGCCACTAGACCACCGCGGCGGGGCATCTAGTGATAGTTGAGACACCTTGTATACCTATGACTGCATTGACAATAATGTTCATCGGAGGGAGAAGTCACAAAAATGTTTTGTTTGTTGAATTGATGAAGCATTAAGGTCACGTGGGATAGCCGCAACAAGAAAAAAAAGAAAAAGAAACAATCATAAGACTTCACGCAGATGAGCAGTTCGTTGAAATAGATATTAACAAAGTCAGCATGCATTATAATCCAAAGGCTAATCCGTACATCAATAAAAATTAATGAACCGAAACGTTTGTTAAAGCAGGAGCCACGTTATCTCCATAGCAGACAATTTGTGAAATCTGGGGGTCAATTTGACTCTCTTGTTTCGGGCGGAAACCTTGCGAGTTCGGCTCCTGCCATTGCCCACTGTATAGTTCCTAGACTAATCAGCGTAGTTTTGAATTCGTGGTTGCATCCTTTCTCAGTGAAGGTGGCTAGTGCTTGATAGTTTTGGTGAACATGGTAAGCTGCAACGCCGTTCAAGAGGTTTCTATTCAAGACCCCCACCCGGCTGATTTATACCAAAATGAAAATTTTTGGTGAGTTCATGACCCATATTTGCACGCAAACTAAAAAATAGAACATAGTTCATTGAGTGGCGTGAACGCTTTTGAGTGGAGTCTTTGAGCGCATCCAGATTGAAAGCAGCTGTCAGAAGCAGCTGGCCAAGTCAGTAGTATGAGAACAGACGCCCACGAAGGTGAGAAAGTGTCTCTCAGATATTTTTGCTTGCACTTAAAAAAACTTTTTATCAGAAAAGAAAAGGTACTTTTTTCTAACTTAAGAAGCTGTTTCAAATGCTTGTTTACACGCATGTTTACCATGAAGAGGTATTCCCATTCTACTATATAAGTAAATAAGTATTTGGTGATTCCACGTAAGAAAGAACAAAGCGTGGCTGGTCAACCTCTTAAACTTTATTGAAAGAATTATATATTGTTGCCTGATCTGTGTAAAGAAGAGATCCGTAATTTGTTTTGCTGTAATAATTTTTTTCGAAGCACAATAAATCAATAGTGACAGAGAAGTGGAATGCCACGCTTACCTGCTTTGCTGCTTTTTTTTTAGTTAGCCAATGAATTACACAAAGTTTAATATTACTACGTGCTTCAAATTTATTTGACTGCGTATAGGCGTACTGGCGCTTCCACTCAATCATAATTCGATGGTCTGCGTAGTGTATATTTTTAATGAAATTTCTCAAATTTGACAAAACCACATTTTTCTTTCGAGTTTGTAGTCTTTTATTTCACAAAGGGCCTATGGCAGGGGGGTGAAAATTCTGCATCATTTTCTCAGCATGCTTACTTATAAAACTTTTATAGCTATTACTATTATTATTATTCAATAGAAATATATAGTCGTGCTAACTCCATGAAAAGAGCATGCTGGAAAAACTTACAACGACAAAAAAAACTATTTTCAATATTTCATATACTTTTTCCACTTATTCTAATTTGAATCAGATTTCGCTATGAATAAAAACATGTTGAATTATATGGTTTTGCGTTTGGTTAAGGCTCGTCAAGAAATGCCCTTGTGCAAGGATAGGCAACGGTAGATCGGACTTCCTGCCCGCTAAGTATGAAATGCAGGCCTATATTTGAGTCTCTTAAAAGGATAGCAGCACTGAAATAGCTGTCGACTGCACTGAGAACTCAAATTTTGAAAGTATTTGGTCATGGGAGCGGCCATAAGTGCGGGATTACCGAGCTAACAAGTGCGCACAGCCCATGCTCCGGTGTGAAGAGGGTCCGTCGAATAAGACCTTTGCGCAAGATTCAGCACAATTTGTGGGTCTGAACATTGTATAAAATTTGTGATAACTTACGGCTTTTGAATTTGGCATGACATTGTAATAAAGTAGTTATGTCTCGCCGTTGCAAATTAGCAGTGATATATACGGTAGTGATAATTAGAAATTAGTGTTGCACGCTCTGTGGTCATCATCATCAGCAGCAGCAGCAGCATTATCAGCCTGACTGCGCCTGCATTCTATACCAAGCGAACAGGAAGTCCGATCTACCATTGCCTATCCTTGCACAAGGGCATTCTTTGACGGGCCGTAAATGCAAGCAAAATCGTACAATTTAAAATGTTTCTATTGACTGTGAAAGCTGATGTACAGTAGAATAGGTGGGGAAAAGATTAAAAAATACCAAAAATTGGTTGTTTTGCTCGTCGTCAGAAGTTCTTTTGCATGTTCTTTTCTTGAAGTTAGCACAGTTATATCTTTTTATTAAAAATGATAACAATATTAGCTATGGCAGTTTTATAAACAAGCATCTGAGAAAGTGATGCGAAATTTTCACCCCTCTGTCATGAGTGTTTTGTGAAATAGAAGCCTGCAAACTAGGTAAGAAAACGTTATGTCAAATTTGCGATTTTTTAACAAAGTCTACACAACGCAGACAATGTACATATAATTGAACGTAAGCACCAGTACGCCTATATATAGCCAAACGAGTTCGAGACACGTATTATTATTATAATTTGTGTAATTTATTGGTAAATTAAAAAAAAAGCAGCAGAGCAGGTAAGCGTGGCATTCCACCTCTCCGTCATTGTTGATTTACTGTGCTTCAAAAAAATGTTTTTCACAGAAAAACCAACTGCGAATCTCTTCTTCACATAAATCAGGCAGCAATATACAAAGTTTTGAATGAAGTTTAAGAGGTCGATCATCCAGGCTTAGTTCTTTCTTACGCGGAATCAACTCTTCTTTTGTTATTTTTAAAACGATGCTTTTTTTTTGACAAAGTAAACCATAAAAAGGTGAATGTTGTTGACTTTTTTATGCGATGTTTAAAGAATTCACTGAAAGGTAGAAACAACTTTAATGACATCTCGAGAGACGCGACCGGCGTGCAGTAAATGTTAGCGCTTTATACGATCCCAGCAACTCCTGTCTAAGAAATTTATAATAACCCAAAATATAGTAAATAAAGCATCGCGACGATGGTAATCTTGTATAAATCAAACACTCTATTTGAGAGTTACGTCTTAAAGAAATCATGATTACCTTGTTCACTATACCGTTCACAAGAAGTCCAGTTAGTCGGACACAAAATTTACTGACACTAGACGACAAGAGCTGATGAAATAAATATATACGTACAGTGAGTTTTGACGAGATCAAAATGTGCCCAATATTAGCCGAGGATATTGATTGCTTGCAAAAATTTGTTGAGAATTATTATAGCACGCTTTTGCAATCTGTTTATGAGTCATGTACCTAGGACTTTCAAGGGAGTTAAGGGATGGCGATATATTTCCATTCAATTACGTAATGAATGCTATATCTGTGTGTTATCACGTGGAAATTTCAGTAGAAGATGCTGTATATTCTAACCCGTGAGGCCGCAAATCCATCCTGGACTTAACTCACAAAGTTTTGTGCAGGGGTGCTATGCAACAAGCTTCCAGTGCACACTTGTTTGCTCCAAAGTTGCACTAAAGAGGTCAAAACAGGAAGACACGACAGAAGTACAGTGCGGAGTGCACGAAATCACTGAGAAAAGAAGTTACAGGAACGCGCATGGCGCCACAAACGTATGACGTGCGGCATTTCAGGTGGCTTTCAAAAGAACGCCACGTGTGAACGTGTCAGCACCACCACACAGTCTACATTTAAAGAGTGCAGCAACGTCAGTGTGATTGTCGCCCTATCGATTTTCCAACTGAACATCGTGCTTCCCACCAGTGTGTTCGCGTTCCATAGTGATCTTTCAA